GCAAATGACGCATTCGGCTATGAATTTTTGGACCGAATTCCGCATGCCTTTCCAGTGGAATTGGGTGGCTAGTCTCTTGTAAGTGCGCAAAATCCCCGAGTGTCCTCTTGCTGGTGATGAGTGGAACACTTCAAGAAGCTGCTGAATATGGGCTGAATCCTGTGGTATCACCAATCGACGTTTATACAACAACAAGTTATTCTCCACTGTGTACCCTGGGTGGCTTGGACTTGTGAACGCAGCTTGTTCAGTTGTGGGTGTCTTTCAGCTTCTTCCCTTAACTGACTCATGATGGAACATGTTGGGCCCATGAGAAGTAATGGAAATAGTTGTGGTTGGCGTGACAGCGCATCTGTCACCTTGTTAGTGTGCCCTGCCTTGTATTTAATGACATGATCATAGCTGAGTAATTTGGCTATCCATCGTTGCTGTTCCGAGGATAGTACGGACTGCTCCAACAGAAATTTCAGGCTATTGGTGGTCAGTTCGTATGATGAACCTCCCTCCCTAGAAGGTAGGGTCGCCACCTCTGAACTACGAGAACAATTGCTATCAGTTCACGTTCGTATACTGACTTGGCCCATTTTTGTGCTGTCATTGCTTTGCTGAAAAACACTAGTGGCCTTTCTTCTTGCATGAGGACTGCACCTACTCCTTGGCTTGACGCATCCCATTCAATGATGAAGTCCTTTGAGAAGTCTGGAAGTGCGAGCGTCGGTGGGGACGAGACAGTTGTTTTGAGCATCTCGAAGGCCTGTTGGGCCTCCCTAGTCCAGCAGAAACCATTCTTCTTAAGTAAACTTGTCAAGGGGGCAGCAATCAGTCCATACCCTCTGATGAATCGCCGGTAGTACCCTGTTAGACCCAAGAAGCCCCGTAACTCCTTAACATTTTGAGGTCGGGTTCAATTTATCATGCTTGAGATCTTTTCCGGGTCTGCTGCTACAATGTCGTTTTCGACTACGTGCCCTAAGCAGTGTACTTGAGTCTGTCCAAATGCGCACTTTGACTCCTTTGCAAAGAGTTTATGAGTCCTTAGTAGTTCCAAGGTGATTTGTAGATGTACTATGTGTTTGTCCCATGTAGCGCTATATACAAGTATATCATAAAAAAACGAGTATAAATTTGCGCAAATGGGGTCGAAATATGTCATTCACAAGTGCTTGGAACGTAGCTGGTGCATTGGTCAACCCAAATGGCATGACCAAAAACTCATAATGCCCCTCGTGTGTACAAAAGGCGGTCTTGTGGATGTCACCCTCATGGACCCGAATTTGATGATATCTCGATCTCAGGTCTAGTTTAGAGAATATGGTGGCTCGACCGAGTTCATCGATTACCGGTATGGGAAATCGATCCTTCACAGTAATATTGTTCAGGGCCCTATAGTCTATACAAAGCCACCATGTCCCATCCTTCTTTTTCACAAGTAATACCGGCGAGGAGAATGGGCTTTGGCTGGGTTGTATAATTTTTCTATCAAGCATATTTTGCACTTGTCTCTCAATCTCTAGTTTCTGAAAATAGGGGTAACGATAGGGCCTTACATTTGTGGGTGCCGTTCCGGGCAGCAATGGAATGGAATGCAATGATCATGGGCACGTCTCGGTGGTAGTTCCTTAGGCTCTTGGAAGATCACTGAAAACTTTTGAAGTAGCTGCTGTAGTTGTATGTCGGCTTCTTCGGATCTGCTGGAGTTACTTCCTTGGGCTAGAATTGGGCCGTTCCCGTGGGAGTTTATCTGCATTAAAATGATGTGGGATGGGTCTGCTGCCTGTTTTCTTAGGGTGGCGAGACTAATGGGTCCTGGATCCTTGGACAGCTGTCCTTGAATATGCACCTGTGAGCTGCCCACTTGAAAGTCCATTGTGAGACGGACCCAGTCACATATCACCGGCCCTAGTTGCCTTAACCATTGGACTCCAAGAACTACATCTGCTCCACTGATTTCCAGGGGATGTAGATCTACCTCGAACTCGTGTCCTTGT